GAAACTCAGGGAAGAGAAGGCCATTGAGGGCACTGAAAACACAGACACCACATTCACCCTGAGCTGCAGAGAGTCAGTGGTGGGAGAATTCCCAAATTCCTTTTTGCCACTGCCAGAGACAGGAGAGTGGGTTTTTGGTACAATCCAGCTACAGCTGCTCTGATGTTTTTAATCTCCAGTATATATGTAAAAACATACATGTAATTCCCCCTGCATAAGGTGGATATGGTTACACAGTCAGTCATTCTAATCACGAGTAAGTCTGAGCTGCTGCCAGAGATGAGCTGAATCAAGAAGCTTATCCAGCTGAAAAAAATCCACCAGTGTCACGTTCCAGTTCAATCTATTTCTTGGTGTGAGACTACAAAACACTGAAGAGAGGTGTAAAACCATCAGCCATGGGAGTGGGAGAAGGTGGGACCGACCTGTTCATCAGCAGCTGCAGTTCATGCAGGATTAAAGCAGGCACATAACAAGGAAGGATGAAGGAACATGGGGATTATCTATATTGCATAATGATTATGTGATTTAAATAACTGTGAGATGAAATTCCAGGGGTGCTGAGAGCACTAAGGAAAGCAAAGCTTAATCCCTGCAGGATGTGTCAGGAACTGGCTGAGGAAGCTGAGCACAAAGAGGGGTTTGCTCAGCCACCAACCCCCTTCCCCGAGGAGCAGCCTTGCTCTCGGGGGCACCTCATCTATTTCTACCCTAAATGCCATGAAAACACAAACACTACTGAAGCTGTAGGGATATGACACATTAATGAGACCAATAAAGATGTACCAGCTCTTTGAAAGAACAATCTTGCATTTCTTGTACAGATAATCAAATTTCTAAAGGACTGAAGAAAAGACTGGAGGTACCAGGAATTCCAATCAAAAAATAATTTCAGAAACAGCTGTTGATGACTAAATGTCATCCAAAGCTGACACATTCTGTGATAAAAGAAAGTGGTAACCACACCATTAACATGTAGTGCACAGAGAACAAAGAAAGCCCTGAGGAAAGGAGGGCAGTGCTTCCTTTACTTCCTCGATGTTACTTCCAACAGATCAAATGTGTATTTGTAAAGGATGCATCTCCTTTTTTTCTGCATGTAGAACCTCAGTCTGCAACAGACAGGTGGACAAACCCTGAAAATCAGTATCATATTGAAAATAATACTGAAAATACTGTTAACAATTCAGAAATATTTTAAATTAGTACTGATGAAAGAGTTTGAATACTTTCAGAGAGTCAACTGAAGGGGAAAAAAGGTCTCCTGATGCTCTTGCTCTCACACTCAAACCCTCTGGGCAGGGTAGCACTGTGAGCAAGAGCCACACTCACCACCACAAGCCCAGCAGGTGTGAAGGTGACCCAGCTCTGAGGGAAACTTCCGTTTCAGCCCACTACAAAGCTCTGGGTTGGCTACACACCCTAAAATGCCAGCTGGCATACAATGGAGCCACAGTTATGCTGGGCCAGCTCTAATCAACACCAGCATTACCTTTATGGGCTGAGCTCAAGCACAGGGGACAGGGTTTTTTTCCCAGTCAGCCTCTGAACTGTAGTGACCTGCACACATCAGTTCAGGGTGACTGCAATGCACAGAACATCCCAGAGTACTCGAGGCACAGATCTGGTTGTGTTCTGCTACTGAGCACCTCCCAGGATCACCGAGGATCCATCCTCTCTGCTGTCCTGGGGAACAAAGCCCCTGAGCACACAGGCAAGCACAACACTACTATGCTTGGTTTGACCAACAGGACTACAACTTTCATTACAGAAAAGTGCTCATAATTTACTTATCAGAAATGTCCAGTCTGAGGCCTAAACAAAACCTGAGATCATCACAAGCTCTTTAGCTCACTGTCAGCTTCACAGCGGGGCAGAAGTGCCTGTGAAGATTTAACCTTTTGCCCGGGGGGCTCAGTTCCCCCAGTCCCTCATTCCCACCATTGCAAAGTCAGGCAGTTTAGCCCATGGGAATTGCTGATATAGCCCATTCTGCTTGTGGAGGGGGAGAGAGGCAAAATAGGGGGCACAGCTGTCTCCATAAAATTACTGAAGGAAAAAATAAATAAACGGAAGAGACAAATGATAAAAAGCCGGAGAGTGTCATGCTTGCTTAAGAAAATAAAAACCAGGGTCTAAAAAAGGTCTATAAACAGTCTTAATAGAGGAAAAGTGACAAATGTACCTGCAGAAAACATGAGCTGCAGGTCCTGTCACACTTCACGCAAAGAGCTGCCGACAGAAAAACCTCTGACCAACTGAGGTACAAAGGGTTCCAGAGCAAACGAAACCCACTGCCAACAATCTGATCCCAACTTCCCGGGGGTATCAATGGATTTACAGACTCCAAACAACACTGAGCACCAACACAACCAGCACTGAGTGAGAGAGGCAAAGACTTCACACAAAGAGCAGCCCCCAAGTTATGTACACGTGAAGTACAAAATATTGACCTGCCTTTGTGACCCTGGAAGAAGAAACCAGCAATAAGCCTGAAGAGAAGTAGTAAATGAATCCTGCTATGAGAACCAAAATAGAGCAGAAGCTTAAAAGAAGTGGGAATTGAATTGAGCTACAGACTTCCATGAGTTGGCATCACAAAGCCAGGAAAATCTAACAACTAAAATCCTGAGAGCAAACAGCAGGAGCAGATAGACCAGAAATGAAGGCACACAACTCCCAGGTAATCTCAGAATATATTAATTGAGTTT